CCTTCTTATTCAATTCTATGGGACAACTATGGGATGGTAATCGAAGGTAGCCAAGGAAGTTGGATTCAAAAATAGCTAATGGATCAAAGGCAGAGATTATAAGCAACATCATAGGCTAGGAGATTAAAGCTTGTTTGGCTTAAGAAAGAACGAACAATTGATGAGTGGCAATGTTGTAAAATTCACGATTAATCGACTGACTAATCATGATTAGGTAAAAGGTAATGGGATGCTGTATTGCCTCGCCTACTTTTTCTCATAATTTGGCAGAGGATGGCCAAGATCAGTTGCCTTTTCTTAGGTCAACAATATAATTGTGCTATGGTCCCAAAACCATCACCGGAATCTTTCTCAGATGACCTTGTGCAAGTCAGTCTATCGAAGTTGTTGAAATGGTGAAGGGATGCACCATCACAAGCTAGCTAGACCTGCAAAGTTCATCCATCAAGAACACTCAACTTGGATGTCAGTGGTTGAAGAAGAAGGGCAACCTCCCTTAAATGAAATAATGCATTTTGACCTTATTTTTGGCATTATAATCCTTCAAGTTCTATAAAATGCATAGTGCAGTCCTAAAAATTTCAAATTCGTGCAATTTTTTATTTTTTTCCTTTTTCTAATGTTTGTGACATTTTTTTGGAAATAAAAAATATATATATTTTTTAAAAAAGGTAAAATGCCCAACCCTGGCTAGTCTTGTTTAGGCCATGCTAGATGCTAGGCGATGGGTCACTACCCAGCCATCGCCCACCAACTTTTGCAACGTTGGTGGGTAGGAAGGATCACTTGTTGGGTTATATGCTCTCTCTAGAAACTAACAATTTTAATGGAATTTTTCAAAATCTTGGAGCATTCAATAGGATAATCCTTTTAATAAAAGTCACTCTCTTTACCCTTATAATAATTACTTTTAATCTCTATTTACAAATAACTCTTTACACTTAATTATTTAAATTTATCATGACTATCGTCTAAATCTTTAACTAATACCATAAGTTATGCTTTAGTTTTAAATTATAATGCCATGTTATATAGAAATCTGATGTAATCTCTTTTTTACTTTTCAATAAAATATCTACTATCCATAAAAACAAAATTGCAATTATTATAAATTGAGAGATTTGTTTCCTAGTGAATTTATAAATTGAATTAGAAATTTCTTTTTCCAGAAGTAAGATGAATCTACCAAAAAAAGAAAAAGAAAAATACTACAACAAAAAACCAAGAAAATTTTCTCTATGTACATTAATTGAGTACAAACATGGTGAAATTATACCACCATGCTAATAAGATCTTAGTGGAATTACCATCAGAAAAGAAAAGAAAAAAAAAACGAAGAAGATCTTAGTGGAATTAGTACACATAATTTTAGAAAAATCTGTGGCCTAAAATTTACATTTAGGATTTGAACCACACAACATTGAGAACCATTGAAAAACAAAATTCTCAATTACACAATACACTACCTTTCAAGTGGGCCTTCAACAAAGTTAAGTCACCTTGGGGTTATGCTGCATGTCTGGGCCCTATAATAAAACTGTTCTCTTGCCAAGCTCCTCACTTGCTTAATGTAGAAGTCAAAGCCCAAAACCCCATTTTCAAGGGCCCTGTCCAATGCATACATAGTGTCGTCGATGGCCAAATCGGTGGCAGAACTATCTAGCACCACCTGCGATTCGCCGTCGATAGCCTCAAACGCCTCTTCCACACCACCATCTCCGGTGCCGTTCATCCCCGTCACGATCGATTTTGGATCATTAACCCTCACCCAATTCGCTAACATATGCGCTTCCTTTGTTAATTCCTTCACTCTCTGTTTCAACTCTCCCCGCTCTTCATCCAGGCCGGTAATCATTCCGTCCGTGATAACAACCCGCCGGCGCAATTCCTCCTGCAAAACCGACAGTTCTTCAATTTCACTCTGGGCATTGGCCTGAAACACGGCGACGTCGTAATGAAGCATTCCGGTAAGTCTATCAATGGCTTCCCTTTTTGAGACGAGAGAAGGGTGGGTGAAGCCGGAAGCGGAACTGTAAGCAAAAGGGTGATCACGGCTGAAGAGTTTGAACATATTCCGTACGAGATCGGAGAGATTTGAGCTCGGGTATTGCCAGGCAATGATATAAGGAGTGACGGTGGCGCCGGAGGAATCAACAAACGCATGATTCCGGTGGATGGAATTGGTGGGGTCCGGTGAAACGAAGACAAGGGGGGGCTCGTTAGGGTAATTTTCATGGAGCCAGATGATGAGAGGAATCGACGGCATGGAATGGGAGAGCCTAACGCTGCCGGTGACATTCAGGAGATTGACGGTTGTCCCGTTGTTGTGAGTGAAACGGTCGGAGGAGAGGCGAAAACTGGGATAGTATTGAAGGAGAGAGACCAGGTGTTGCCGGATAATCCACTTCTGGTCGGGGTCGGAGTAGGAGAGAGCAAAAGGGGTGGTGCAGGAAAACGCCGTTTCGATGAATTGGATTGAAGAAGATGGAGCCATGGGTGGGGATGGAAGAAAGAATTAAGATTTTTTGATTTGATGAAATTCAGAAGATTGCATGTTGTTTTTGTGGAGAAATTTGGTTGTTTTTATGGAATACGTAAAACAATATAAAAAGACGAGCAGACTGGGAGTCAATTCACATTTTAACTTCGGTGAAAACAGAGATGAAGTTCCGGGGGGTTTCCTACGCGTCGGGAAGTCAAAGGGGAAATCATTTCTTTTTTTTTTTCTTTTTTCTTTTTTTTTCCGGTAGAATGTAATCTTATGATGCTCGGCCAACTTTTTCAAAGAGTATTCTTTAGGGGAAATCATTTCTTTAGTTTACGTGAGGAAGAGGATGAGACAGAGTCTTGTTAGTTGAAGTCAAATTTTCAGTTTTTATGCATTTCATTGGAGTCCAATAGCCAATTGGATATTAAAATGGGCTCCAGAGAGGCTTGGTCTGCGGATTTGTACAAAACAGTTTGAATATAAGATTTTTTAATTTAAAATTTTAATCTTTTAATCAATTAAGATGATTTTCTTTTGTGCAAAATAATTAAGATGATACTTAACAGTTCTCAATTATTGTAATAAATTTTTTTAATGAATGCCACCTTTAATATTAATAATAAACTATTAGAGTAATTATAAAACAATATTTTTTGTCTTAAAATAATTATTATTTTTATTTTAAATTTGTTTTAAGTAATTTATTTTTTATTTTTTAAGATAGACAAATATTTTTTAAATTTAACCTTATCATTATTTACTTTTTAAAATTATTTATCTTATAATAAAAAGTATTACTTTATCTTTGAATTTTTTTTAAAGGTAACATAAGTAAATTTATAAATTGTTATCAAAACTTTAATTTAAAAAAATAAAAAAAAGGAGAATTATTTTGAAATAAAAAGGAGTAACAAAAAACTAATAAAGAATTAGTCTTGAACTATATATAAGTTGATTCAAAGATATTTAGCCACTAAATTTAAAAAAAAAATGAAAAATTCACTGGCATAATCCTAGTAGTTAATCATATTATTAAGAGTATTATTCTATTACAAATATTCGCAGAAAATGCTATGAAATTTCCTACTCCAAGCCGAGGTAGAAAAGTGGAAGACAGACCAAATATGTGGGGATGGGGGAAGGACCCTGTAACAGAATTAACTACTAACAACTTCATTAACATACTTACCTATGAATGTGAAGCGCTAACCACCAAGAATGAAAGGTTGTATGGCAGAGGAAATTTTTTAGATTTCTTCCAAGATCAGATTGAAAGTGGCCCACTTGCAAAATGTAGGAGGATAAGTTT